GAGGGCCCCACCCTCCTTGGAGAACCTGGGAGGTCCATCCTACTTGGTCTGGGCAGCCTGGCCTGGCCAGGGGCTCTGTGAGGCTGCAGGGCATGGTGAATGAGTGCGTAGGCTCTGGAATCCACCACCAGGGCGGACATCCCAAGTCTGGCCTGACCAGCCTTGCCATCTTGCCTATGTTCCCTACCCATTCTGGGGGTCAGGCTCCTCACTGAGAAGGTGGAGATAGTAACCCCTGCCTCCCAGGGTTGTTTGAGGGCTACCAGTGTCGTTAGATGAGTTTGGAGAACATGCAAAGCACTTGGAATGGTCTGGCACTGAGTCTGTGCTTAACCAAGGGGAGCTTTTAATCACTCTTGCCCTGACTGTCTGACCCATGCCAGAGCCAAGTCATGACATCACAGGAGCCCTAAGAGCCCTGCTAACTGCGTGCCAGACACCTTCACTCTTTCACTGCATTGAATCTTTGAGACAACCTTGTGATATTGGTGTCTTTATTGTCCCCATTTCAGAGGTGGAAACAAGCTCAGAGTGAGTAGAGCACCTTTCCTGGCCTCACAAGTCAGCCTCAGTGGAGACCCAGGTTGGCCTAACCTCAAGCACTGTGATCCCAAACAGCCCTCGCCATGAAGCCAGCTCCTTTTCTGTCCCATCTCCTCCAACCATGCCCTCAGCTCTTCATTCTGGACCTTTCCACTCCCCAGGGCAGCTCTGAAGGGGGGTGAGGATGTTGTCAAGTTAACATCTATCTAGATGGTGGCTGGCCGATCACAAGGTTCTTGAAAATGGGGTTCTGACTGATGGTGTCCCATTGTCCTAACAGGGAGCTGCCCCAGTTTTCCCTGAATTTCTCCAGGTCACCGCTCCCAACTTGCTACTTTAGAGCTGTGCCTCTGTCTTCCATAAGGCTGGGTGAGTGGATGGCTGGATGGATCCATGGATGGATGGCTGGCTGGGTGGGTGGATGGATGGATGGGTAGATGGATACATGGATGGATGGTGGGTGAATGGATGAATATATGGGTGGGTGGATATATAAATGGGTAGATGGATGATGGGGGGATATAAGGATGGATGGGTGAGTGGGTGGATGGATCCATGGGTGGATGGGTGGGTAGATGGATGGATAGATACATGGATGGATGGATGGATGGATGGATGGATGGATGTGAGTGGGTGGGTGGATGGATGGATGGATGGATGGGTAGATGGGTGGGTGGATGGATAGATGGATGGATGGATGGATCCATGGGTGGATGGGTGGGTAGATGGATGGATGGATGGATGGATGGGTAGATGGGTGGGTGGATGGATAGATGGATGGATGGATGGATCCATGGGTGGATGGGTGGGTAGATGGATGGATAGATACATAGATGGATGGATGGATGGATGGATGGATGGATGGATGGATCCATGGATGGATGGATGGATGGATGGATGGATGGATGGTTGGATGGATGAGTAGGTAGATCGGTGGATGGACAGATGGATGGGTAAGTGGATGGATGGAGAATTACAGCGCCATTCTCCTAAACATAGAAAAGGTAGATAAATTTATTTATTTTATCAGTGATAATAAATGAATGTGTGAAATTTCTATCTCGAACCCCTCCTGCCCAAGGCACGAGGTTTCCCAGGAATTCCCACCTTGCCATCAGTACTCCCTGTGTGCCCCCCATGAAATTTTCCATTCATTCCTTACCTTGGAGCCATTCAAATAAGAACACGACAGAACAGGCACCTTGGTGAGGTGCACTCTGTTCTTGGTGCATCTCCCAGCCCTCGCTAGAAAGAGAAGTGCCCGACCTCTCCTCTGTCCACTCATGGCTGTGCAGCTGTTTTGATACACCATTCACTGTCTGTGTCTCCTCGGTGGGTCCCGATGGCCCCTATGGAAGCCCATTTGGCAGCTGGGGACACTGAGGCTGGGGAGAGGCAAGGGCCAAGGCAGTAGTTGAATCAGTGGGTCCAAATCCAACACCTGTACTGCCTCTTTTCTCACCCAAATGCTCCTCTCCCCACAGTCCCTTAGGGAGGTGCGCACAACCAGCTCAGCCCGGGGGGCTCAGGCACAAGTGTGCGCCACCCTGGCATGCAGTTATTGCAGTCTGAGAGGGGATGGGGTCAGCTCTGGGGCTGCTATATCTGGCTCGGCCCTGGAATGTGGCTGGGGCAAGGTCCCCCTCCGATGGCTGGGCGCTAATTATAGATCTACTTGTTCACCTTTCCGAGTCCTTCAACCCCTGGGGAAGCGGGAGGTCTCTGAACCTGCGGGGAGGTTCAAAGGCCCACCCCGAGTAGCTGAAGCTCTGTCACCCAGAGAGGGCCGCCCAGGGTCGGGGCTCAGGGGGCCAGGCTGCGGGTCCTTGGTCTGTTGGCTTCACACCGGCAGGTGGGGCAGTGGGCGGGGCCTGGGCACGCTGAGCAGCTCACAGCCTCCAAGGCCACCTGCCGCCTGCCCTGTCAGCTCTGCGCAGGTGCGGGTGACTGGCTGGCCGCTCCCTAATTTATTCAGCGCTGTTTATTGAGCATCTTGGATGCTGCCAACTCCCTACTTCCAGCAACCCGGGTGTTGCAGTGTTGTTTTCTGTTTTCTGTTTTTTTGTTTTTGTTTTTGTTTTACCATTTTATCCACTTCGAAGTGTGCAATTTCACGGCCTTAAGGACTTTCACAGTCTTGCGTGACCACCACCACTATCTGCTTCCATACTTTTCCTCTTCCCAAACGGAAGCTCCGTCCCCATTAGACACTACCTCTGCATCCTCCGCCCCAGCCCCGGCGCCCACCGTCCGCCCTCTGTCTCTCCAGATGTGGCTCCTCGCTCCTGTGAATGGTATCACCCAGCCTTTGTCCTTCTGCTTATTTCACTGAGTATCATGTCCTCAGGGTTCATCCGTGTGGTAGCAGGTGTCAGCACTTCTTTCCTCTTTAAGGCTGACTACTATTCCGCCGTGTAGATGGACCACACTTTGCTCATCCAACCACCTGTCAATGGACACTTGGGATCTCCCACCTTTTGATTATCACAAACACACAGCTATGAACGAGGGTGAGCAAATATCTGTTGGAGTCCTTGCTTCCGGTGCATTCGGGTGTATCCCCCAAAGCGGACTTGCTAGGTCACATGCTTATTCTGCGTGTGACTTTTTGAGCAACTGCAATCCTGCTTCCCACAGCAGCTGCCCCACTTACATCCCCATTCCTACATGCTCTTGACCCAAAGTCCCAGAGACTCTCAAAAGCAAAGACCCCGCTCCAATCCCTTCACCCTTCTTCCTCCCCTCCCATGCCCCCCACTGGCCGGGCAAGTGGGGGTGAAGCAAAGTCAGGAGAGGGTGACAGGCTGTCTTCACTGGAGCCTCTGGGGAGCCCTGTCCTGGCTCAGACAGCACGTTCTCATGGGGCTGTGGGTGCCTAGTCGCCAGCCTCTGCCCCCTCCAGGCCCACGCAGGAGGATCCCGTAGTGGATCGGGGCCCACCCTACACCAGTGGGACCTCATCTCTGCTTGATTATATCTGCAATGACCTACTTCCAAATAAGGCTAGCTTCTGAGGTCCCAAGTAAGTCCCCCTAACTGACGTGAACTTTGGGAGATGCAATTCAACCCGTAACTCCATCCTAACCCAGGCCCGAGGTGAAGCTGCTTGGGCTACAGACGGGTGAGAACTGACCCGAGCACAGCCTGCCCGCTGCAGAAAACACATTTGCCTCGCCAATCTGTTTTAAATATTAGCCACCAGTGCCTGAATGTCTCCTTTCTTCTTTAGGGAGCATCCGTCAGTAGTGTTGCAACGAGGGCTGGGTGGGTATGATGCTGCCGCACCTCCGCTGCTACATTCCCGGGGCAGGGTCACCGCCTGAACCTGCTTCCTCATTGGTGACTTGGGAGCCATGGTGGCACTGGCTCCATCCCATCCCACATCCCTCACCAGTGCCGCCCATGAAGTCCCAGAAAAGTGAGCCACTGCCCATGCCCTGTAGCTCTCACTCAGGTGACCCCCCCCCACTGCCACTGTCGGGGGAGCAGGGGTGGGGGGGGCAGGGAAGGCACCCGGTCCAAGATGGACCTTGGCCACCTACTGGCTGAGGACCCGGGTAAATCACGTCTCCTCCCTAAGCCAAGTTTGCTTTCTTAGGCAAAGACAGGAATGCTCAAGGCTTTGGTGGCAGGTTGTAGCAAGGATAAAGGAGTTCAGAGTCCTACCTGGCATACAACACAGGTGCTCAGGACTGTCCACGGAGAAACACACAGCTGCACGATGGAGGGACTTGTTTTGGAGTTCTCAACAAAGTAAACCAGTTCCTCTCCCTCTCCCCACCCCTGCCACGTGTGTGCACACACGTATGTACAGTCCAGCCAGAATAGGCACACACACACACACACACACACACACACACATGCATTAGCCTCTTCTTTCCATGCACACAAACCATCTATTGGTTTCAAAAAATAGCAATTTTCCAAACCAGGGGATTAAAATGCATCTTTAGCTTGATTCCTCAGAATACAGTCTTACATTTTTAAAATAGTGATTTGGCACAGACGCTGCTATCCTCCCAAGCAAATATGTTTCCAGTAAAAACTGCAACTGTCTCCTCAGGCTGCGTTATAATCTATTAAATAACAAAGTAGAATAAAATACTTCAATGTTTCGGTTACACAAACGCCCACTCGTCCCACAGCGGAGCTGCAGGGAGGCTCCTGAGGCAGCCGTCGGTTTTCCCCGTGGGCGAGGGGGCGCCCGGCCAACGGAAGCCCACAGAGGTGCGGACTGAAGGCAGCCCTCCCTCTGAGCCCCGACTCCCTTCTGATCTGACCCCGTTTGAGAGAATTCGGGGAGGGCTGGGCCTCCAGACACAGGGGAGGGGCAGGGAAGGGGCCAGGACAGGGCCAGCCGGGCCGGTGGATGCTCTGCACCTGCCGGGCTAGCCACTTGCCGGGAGCCCGCCTGGGGCCGGACCATGGACGGCCTTCTCTGCGCCGGGCCTGGCGATCTACGCATGGCCTCCCCGGGTCCGCTTCCTCTGCTGCCGCCGCGGGGGCTGGGTGCCCTTGCCAGGGGGCCCAGGCAGGCCACCACGGAGCCCGGCCCCCCTCTGGAGCAGCCGCACCATCTCATGGTCCTTGTGGTCCAGCACGCGGGGCAGGAACAAGGAGGACTTCTGGGTGCGGCGTGTCTTAAAGCCCCTGCGGGGCCGGCCCTTGCCGTTCACGGACACATACCACAGTCTCTCGGCGCTGGGCTGACGCTGCGCCCCCGGGCCGCTGGGCACCGTTCGGTACAGCCGCGAGGCGTACGTGTTGTAGCCCAGCTCGTGGATCCGCTCCACGAACTCACACTCGGCGTTGTAGCTCTCCTGCGGGGGGCAGAAGGCCTCCGTCAGCCGCTGGGGAGGCCACGGAGGCCCCCATGGAGACCCCCATGGAGGCTGGGGATCGGGGTCTTGGGGACCGACTGTCCCTTTGCCAGGTCTCCCTCTCCTCCTCCCTCCTGCCCGGTCCGGCACTTATCTGTGACCCATGACACCCATGCCTAGGCTGTGCCCGTCCTCCCTCTGAGTCTGGTGAACTTGGCCTTCGGGGTTCAGCTCCTCTGCCAAGGTTTCCTGAGCACCTGGGGAGAGTGCTCCCCCAGCTCTGTTCCCCTGGCACTGACTGGGGAGGGCGGGCATCCCGGCCCAGGGACGTGTGGCTCTCTCAGCAGAGCAGAGACGGGGCCTGTCCTCGATCTCTGCTGGCGGCAGGGACATCTGGAGAGAAGAAATGGACACTGGGATTTGGCTGGGTTTTCATGAGCCTGGCTTCTCGATTACACTTGAGTTTAGGCCCTGGCTCTGGGCCTTGAACTCGGAGAGGGGCTGTCTTGGCCTCGTGGTCCTTGCCCCACGCACATGGAGCAGAAACCAGGAGCCCAGCCCAAAGCCTGTGCTCAGCAAGGGCACAGACACTGTTGTTGTCAGGGCGGCTCAGGGGTGGGGGCGCCCGCACAAGTGGGGTGTAGAGGAGACGCTCCAGAGGCAGAGGCGAACAGGGACCTGTGTGCGTCCGGGACAGGCTGGGAGGCATGGGCTGGGCCTGGGTCTCTGCCTTCTCAGAGACAGGCATCCGGACAGAGAGAGGCAGACTCATAACCCAAGGGGCTTTCACCATCGTCCCTTGGGCCACCTAGTGGGGTGCCTCCAGGTCGGGGGGGGGGTGAGTCTGACTTACACCAACCCAGGTGAGGCTTCGGTCTGAGCTGTAGGCAGGTGGGCATGCCAAGCACCCCCAGGGCTTCCCTCCTCACCCCGTGCCAGGGGGCAGGGCTGGGGGGCAGGGGGAGGTGGGCAGGAGCCCAAGACCCTCATGTCTCCATCTGCGGTGGGGAAAGGGGGCTGCTACTGAGTGCAGGTGGCCCAAAGGGCCCGGGCCCATTCTCAGGGGGGCACAGGCTGGTTGGGGCCAGACCCACGAAAGGGACAGCAGGAGACCTGGAAGGGCCACAGCATGCACGATGGTCAAGCCCCAAATGCCTCTTTCCCAGTGATGTCCAAGTCCAGAGGGAAGGGTGGGGGCTCCTGTCCAACTGGAAGAGGGAGCTGCCTCTCCCCATAACCTCAACCTCTCTCTGCTGTCCCACCCCTCGGGGGGTGCCCAGAATGCCCTGGGTCACAGTACAGGTGCCGCTGACAAAGACCAGGCCTGGGGTGGTGGCAGACCCCAAATCCCAGAGGGTTATGATGCTGTTCTGGTCTGTGCTCAAGGCCTCATATGTAGTGTGGGGATCACGGGCCATCTGGGGGTGAGCGGCTGGGCTCAGGGCAGACCCCCATGTCAGGCGGCTACATTAGTGTCTGGTCCACACACTCAGCCATCAGGAGCTCAGGGACAGAGCAGGCTCTTCTCCCCAGCCTCTCTGTCCCATGGCTGAGGCCCAGGAACCAGGAAGCCAAGGGTTTTCTTGTTGTGGGACAAGTGAAGGGACCCAGTCTCGCGAGCCTCCAAGAGTGAAGGGCGCAGGCCCTCCAGAGGGGGTCCTGGGGCAGGTAGAGCTTGCGCCTTGTAGGGGCTCCTAGAGAGGTCAGGATGACCAAGAGGGGGTATCGGCTCAGGGCCAGGGACACAGACAGCAGGGGACCCCAGGTGAGATGGCGGTAAGAGTTCCCACTGCCTCTCTGGGTCCTGCTGTCCCACCCCAGACCCTGTGCTCTACAGGGCCTTCCCCCCAGTCACTCCCACCCACCAGTGCCACCTGCCAAAACTCTACTTGTCACTGCCTGACCTCAACCTTGGAGAGCCTGCACTTCCTTCTCAGGCTCTGCCAGCACTTGGAGCCGCTCCAGAAAAGCCAGCCCGGGGCGGTGAGGAGGGGGCTGGCAAGGCTGCCCCCCCCAGTTGGTTCTGAGCCCCAGGGGACCAGGCAGGGGTGTGCAGGGAGGGCGGGAAGGTGGCTGGCTGCAGGCAGCGTGGTGAGCATGTCGAAGGTGTGAGGAGGAAGCCAGCTGACAGGTACCTTCCCAATGAGGTGACATTTAGGAGAGAGTCATTAGGGAGAGGTGGGCTTTTCTGATGGGGGCATTCCAGTCTGGAGAACCCAGCAAGGTTCCAGAGGCTGCGGTGGGAATGATGGTGGAAGGTCGGAGCAGAAGGCGGTCTGGGCAGCTCCCCTGGGGGCCAAGGCACCTGGGGGATAACTTGTGGGGGATGGGGAGCTCCACGACACTGGAGGCCACGACAGCAGTGGATTCACAGTTGAGTAAGATCCTGAAGCAAACACCTAGCAGAGAGTGTGACCTATGGTAAATGCCCACGGCACTGGTGAATGAAGGAATGAATGCCCGATGGTTGCATGGAAGGAAGGAAGGAAGGAAGGAAGGAAGGAAGGAAGGAAGGAAGGAAGCCATTGTTGCAGCTTCTCAGCGACAGCAGACACAGGTAGACTCTGATCCACTGGATCCCCCAGGTCATGTTTTGTTTTGTAACCCAAAGCCCTGGGCCTGCCCACCCCCCGCCCCCCCCCGCCCGGAAGAGGTGTCAAAGTCCTTAGACTTCCCCTTCTGATTCAGCCCTCCCTGCCCAATCTATGAACTTCCTCGGTGTGGATGAAGGACCCTCCAGGACCAGCAAGACCTGCATCATCACTGCCAAGAACAAGAACTCCTCACCAGGGCCCCTCTGCCTAAGGGACAGGGGTGTCTGTAGGTGGTCTAAGGTCATTTGAGGAACAGAAAGTCCGTTCTGCCCACTGGGCGCCAGGGGCCCAGGGCTGAGGCTTTTGGAAACCACAGTTCACCTCAAGAAAAAGACCAGCCTTGGGCCTGAGGGCATGTCCTTATAAGCCACGATTGGTGTCTACTGACTCTGGGAACACCTGCAGGAGACGCTGGAAACCAGAGGGTCCCTGGCTTCTATTAAGCAGCCCCTGGGTCAGAGAAAACAAATGGGCTCATTCCAACTCTTGCATTTCCTTTAGCAAAATAGAAAAAAAAAAAACCCCAAACAACAACAACAACAACAACAAAACCTGTGATAAAATAAGCAGCTAAAAGGAGTGTTTTCCTGCAACTCTTCCCTGATCACACTTTGCCCAACTTCCAGACAGGCAGGGAGAGGCTGGTGTGTGGCCCCTGCAAACAGGCTCAATGGAGAGAGAGGGCTGCAGGGAGATGGTCCTCGGGTTGTGTTGTCTAGGTTCCCTGCGGGTGGAAAACCTCTCATTGCCCAAGGGGTATCAGCCAAATTGCACGTAATGACTAGTTGGAGGTAGCAAATTTCCTGGTTACATGCATTTTACTCCATGCATCCCCGCCCCGGCCCTTGGGGAAGGACATTGCCAATGCCCACAGAGTCATAGGACCCTTTTTCTGTTGTGGGGGCCCCAGGCGGTATACAGACTGGGTTCCAAATCTGTGTGCCTGGGACACAGGTCCTGTGTCCCTTCCTCTAGGTTGGGTCCTAAGAACTAACAGCTCTTGCCTTTCCACCCTGGGGAGAACTGGAGGTGCCATGCCCTGCTTCCTCACCCCCCCACCCCCTCCAGGAGCCCTCTGCTTGAGCCCACAGAAAAGCTTTGCCCAATACACAGTCATGCTGTGCCCCAAGGCTCACCGGGTCCATTTATATTGGTGGAAACTTGGGGGGTAATCTCTGCCTTGCTCTCAGCGACCTTGAGGGAAGGGCAGTAGCAGGGAACAGAAAAGGTCTGGAGGAGCATTTTCTAACCCAAGGGCACTGGAGAACTTAAGACAAGTCTCACCCCCAGTGGGGTCCTCCCTGTGGGCCATGCTCCAAACCAGCCAACCTGGCAGCCGCCTCCTACAGAAGTGGCTGGAACAGCACTGGGTGTTGAGACCCCGGGGCTGAGATTCTGGTCCCAGCTGGGGGTCCTGCAGGTCCCCATGCTGCTGGACAAAGCATTTTGCTGCCCATGTCCCCTCTGTCCCCCGATGAGATGTCCAAGGGAAATGGTTGCCCCACGCATGAGTACCCATGGGAGAGGTTGGACTCACCGAAGCATAGAGCCGCCCCCTCTTGTTCATGGCCAGGTACCGCCCCGAGAAGAGCCCCTTGATGGCCACGATGCCCACCTCCACCGCTGTCATCTCCAGGATACCTGGAAGAGTTGTGAAGGCTCATCACTCCCCGCACCTCCCACACAGCCCAGGGCTGGGGGGCTGAGGGCCCAGGCTGGGCGAGGTGAGGGCACCACACGCTCGGGCGGCGGGGGGGATGACCTGGGAAGTTCCAGGGAAGGAGAAGTCACTGGATGGAAGGCGAAGCAAGGGGAGCATCAGGGAAGGCTTCTCCAAGGAGAAGAATTCAAATACGACTAACATCTCCACGTGCTGACAGCCAGGTGCTAAGGTCCTGCAGGATGTCAGTTTCGTGATCTGACAGACCAGCGAGCCGAGACTGCTGAGGTTAGGTGACTTTCCCAAGACCACACACACGTGTGTGAGCTGGAATTCAAACCTGGGCTGCAGACACCAGTGTCGGAACTCTCCAAAGGCACAGCCCCTACTAAAGGGTCTGAGGAGCCTGGGGCAGGGGCGAAGCTGGGGCCCTTGATGAAGCCAGTGGATAATATAAACCACGCAGTGCATTGAGGGGGCCACCCAAACTCACTGGCAATGGACCTGGGCAGGAGATAATTGTCCAGGGCAGGGTCCAAGGGGGATACAGGCTCTTAGCAGGAAGCGGGGTTAGACGCTGGAGCTCACCGAGGGAAGCTGCCCTGGGCTCTCCTACTCCCCACTGCATGTAAGGAAGTTTCAACCTCCCCTAACATTCCTTCTGGACGCAGGAGTGCTTTTTCACCAGAGGTCCTGCAACAAAGGCCCCAGTGGGACCATTGTCCCCCCCCCCAGAAGGGCTCCAAGGGGCGCTGGAGCGACAGTGATGCCTTCTGGGGGGGGGGGCTCTCCGGGCGCGCCCCTGGCCCCCAGCATGGCAGCAATCCCAGGGCCCAGACGCCAGAGAAGCAAGCGTCTGGATGCAGGACAGGGGCAGCCGCGGATGCGCCGCCCTCCTCGGCCTCCAGGCTGCCTGCCTTGGATACCCCAAGAATTTTGATGTTCTGTGACTCCGAGGGGGAGACTGGATTTGGAGAGCACCTGGGTGTTGCTGTAAGAGGAGCACGGGCGCTCCCGGCAGCCCCATCCTGCGCACAGGGACGGGGACACGAGTCCCCAAGGCGCAGCTCCAGAGGCGTCCTCCCACGACGCCCTCTCCGGGGCTGCGACTTTCCTAGAGGAAGCAGCGGTTTCCCGCCGCCGCCTTCAGTCCACCGCACGGCTTCCTACCCTCGGGGCGGGGGCGAGCGCCGCGGGATGCAGCAGAGGAGCCCCGGACCCTGGCCACGCTTCCACGCTCCCCACTGCGCTCCTGCCGCGCCGGGGGCTCGGGCCTCCTGCTCCCTATCAAGCCGAGCTGCTTCAGGCCCCTGGCCTCGCGCTCCTCTCAGGGAGGCTCAGCACGAGCCAGGGTCCCCGCGGCCAGAGGGGCCAAGCCCTGGAGCCCCGCCGGACTCCCGCGCGAGCACGGTTCGGGCCGTGGGGCGGGGCGGGAGCAGACCTGTGTCCCCAGACCCAGGCGGAGGTGCCTCCGTGCACCTAACTCGTATCCCGCGGCCCCCTACCCCGAAGCGGCGCGCCCACCCTGCCTTGCGCTCTGCGGCCCAGGGCAGAGGCGCGAGGGCTGCGGTCTGGCCCGGGGGCACGGTTCTCTACCCGCCGCGGCAGCAGCCCAGGAGCCCGGCTCCGGCCCGGAGAGGGTCTTCCGCGTGGAGGCCGCGACTAGGAGCGGCCACCTGGGCGACAGCGATCAAGGAGCGCGGAGCGGCCGGCGGGGCGCCCCGGGGTCGGCAGGAGGAGGAGAAGTCGTCAAAATAATAAAGAAGATGGTAAATGCCTCGTCCGGCGCCTTTTCTCCGAAAAACCCAAAGGGCTCGAACTTGTCAGGACCACAGAACCCAACCGAGCGGGGAGCCCCGGGGCTGCCGACCGCGCGTCCCCTCGGACTTGAGACCCCCAGCTCTCCTCGCGCTGCTCTCCCCGACGCAAGGGGACGGCAGGGGACCCCGGCGGGCGCCCTCCGGCCCGCTTTCCCGGGCACCCTTGGCGCGCCAACCCCTCCCGGGCGATCCTCCCCGGGGACCCCGCCGCCGCGCCCCGGGGCCCGACACTCACTGTAGGCGCTGTTTTCCAGGCTGCCGTTGACGCGGCCGCTCGGGTGCAGCTGGAGGTGGTACTTGGTGGCGCAGTAGAGCTTGCGGCGCCGGGGCGCCCCGCCGAGGTGCTCGTAGACGCCGCCGCGGCCGCCCGCATCGCGCCGCAGCCGCGCCCCGGGACCCGCGGCGGGCCAGCCGGGCTCCAGCAGGCTGAGCAGCAGGATCCAGATCAGGCCCATCGTGGCATCGCGCCCGCCCCGCGGCGGCGGCGGCTGCAGGCGAACGCGGCGCTCATGGAGGGGGCGGCAGCCGGGCCGGGGCGAAGCGCTCGGAGCCGGCTCCCGCGCCAGGCCGTGCCGACTCCGGCTCCGCGGCGAGTGGGGGAGGGGAGGGGAGGGGAGGGGCGGGAGGGAGCGGGGGTTGGGGGGGAGAGGCGGGGGGGGGAGAGGGGGTAGAGAGAGAGAGAGAGGCACCTCCTTTAATTTTCACCCAGGATCGGGTGAAATTTCCGTTGCTGCGCAAAGCGCTGACAGAAAAGACGGTTCGGCAACAAAAGGCCGACGTGGTCCCCCGGCGGAGGCGCGGGAGGGGCGGGAGCCCGGCGGGGCGCGGGGTTCGGGCCGGGTGCTGCCCGCGCACACTCGCCCCCAGCGCAGCGCCGTCGAGCCGCGGCTCCGCGCCGCCGCGCGCCCCGCGCCCCCGCGCGCCCTCCCGGCTCTGAAAGGTCCCTTCCCGCCCCTCCCCCGCCCCCTCCCCCAGGCCAATTATGCCTCCGAAAATTATAGACCGAGGCCTCGAGGCGGTCGCCCCAGGCCCTGTCACCCCCTCCCGTCCCCCATCAATCCCCCGGCACAATGGGAACGCCGCCGATGACTGATGTCCGCGAAAGCAACTTGCGGGGAAGTCGCGCTGACAAACGCCCATTAAAGGCGGCGCATAATGAAGGGGGCCGCGGAGGGCGGCGGAGGGGAGGGCCCGGGCCGCGGGCGCGCGTGGGGGACCCCAGGGTTGGGTCGGCGCCCGGGGCTCCCTGCTGGAGCCAGGACGCTGTCCTCCGCGGCCCGAGGCGTGACGGGCCGGGCCGGGAGGTGCCCTGTGGTGTCACGCAGGGCGACCCCGCAGATCCGGAAGGCCGAGGCTGGCGCACGTCGGGCGGGTCTCGGAGGGTCCCGTCCCGGCTGCCGGTCGGAGACAGCGCTAGGGAAGTGGGAGGGGTTCGGGAGAGCCGGAGAACGGGGCACAGAGACAGACAGCCCCGGAGAGCGAGAGAGACCGCTGCGGAGAGAACGGGAGAAAGAACAGGAGAGAGCGAGCGAGGGAGGAACATACCAAGAAGCAGAGGCAGACGAGAGAGACCGGGAATGATCTGAGAAAAGCCTGGAGAGTCTGGTGACCACAGAGAAGGGAGAGGAAAGAGGGGGGAAGTGGCCGGAGGGGGGGTATATCCACGCTGGGGTGGGGCAGCAGTGTAGACGCCCCTGGGTGGCCCCTGGACTGAGTGGGGGCCCTATCCCCTAGGGACCGCTGTGAAGAAGGGCTGTGGATATAGGGTTGGGAAAAGCCACAAGCCCCGTCCCTTCTCTTGCTCCCTTGGCCTCCACCTTCAGCAGCCCCAGGGCCAGAAGCCAGTCACATACAGGCACGCAGGCTCAAGTCAAGCAAGGAAGCTCACCCACGGGGGCCAGGGGTCTATTGGGCTCCAAGTCTGCGGGCTCTGTGGTAAACTGGGTGGGCTGGCATCCCTCGTTCTTTCCACAGGCGTCAGGATTTGGGACCTGGGTCCTTCCCAGGGGAGGTGCAGGTGTGCAGGGTACCAGGGGGACTCCAGTGAGCTGCAGGAAGGAACACACCCCATTGGGACATTTCTTACCATCCTGGCCTGACACAGTGAGCCCACCTCAGCATGCACAGTGCCCCAGTGGCCCTGGGTGGGTGGGTGGGTGGGGGACTTTCAGGGCATCACCCAGTACCTCAGTCCCTGAGGACGTGGCTCTAGGCCAGAGTCTGTCTAGTCAGAGCCCACGAACAATCTAAAGACCAGGCCACTGATGGTTAGAGCCCCAGACTGAATGAAGGTCCCTGCTTGACAGAGGACGGAGCACAGTCTCCAGGCAGCCCCCAGGCACCCCCCAAGGACAGAGCCAAGAGGGGAACTTACTCACTGGGACTCCACCCCCAGACCTGGCCTGGGATTACATACAGTGGCTCCTCAGCACATAGTCCTTGAATAAATGGATGGCTCAGCCACTTCCTAGCCATGTGACCTTGGCCGTGTAGCGTTGCCCCTCGGAGATGCTGGCTTCTCGTGTATAAAATGCTTCCAGTGTAGTGTAACTCAGTAGAATTAGCCCCGCAAAGGTCCCTGCCACCGGATCGGCACAAAGCATGCCCCAGCAGTAGGGGACCGTAGTTTCTTGTGCAACTGGGATGGCTTTGAGGGCGGAAGGGGATGGTATTAGCAGTCATGCTGGGACAGCACACCCCCACGGCCTGAGGTCCCGTCCGGAGGACCTGGCTGGCAACACGCATTTTTGTCAGGATGACTTCTCCAAGGCAGCTAAGCTCCCTGGGTCAGGTTTTCTCCTCTCCCCTGGCCCCTGGCACCGGGGTCCACCCTGCAGTCAGAGGGAGCTGTCTAAAACCCACTGCTGCCTTCTCCCCCTGCACCAGCTCCTGGTAGTGCCTGCACCCCAGTCCACGGCCCCAGCCTCTCCCTCCAGGCTCCAGCTTTTGCTCACCCAACCTTTTCATCTAGAGCTTCCTGCCCCCAGGGTTTCCTGGCCCAGGCAGCCCCCCAGGCACCCCCTCGGGCCCCGGGCTACCAGGCCTTCAGACACCCGGCCCGGCTGAGGGAGGGATGCCTGATTTCGCGGTGTCTTCCTGATCTCATGCTCACAGTCGTGCTGGGGTGAGCTGGGCTGTGCTGGGACAGCCGCACCACCCACACCACGGCGACCTCCGCCCCTCCCCCTCCAATATGGAGCCAGCTGGGGGGTGTGTAATGTGGTAATAGCGACCCTGTTAATTGCTTCCAAATGGTCACTGCTGCCATTTGACTAATTGGTCTCTTCCAGACCCCAGCATGGGCACCCCCAGGCCTGGTCCCAGCCCCTGCCTCACCACCAGCTACCAGTCCCCGAGGTCTCTGCTGCGGGTGCCCTCACCCCCAGATCACCTCCCAGCCCTATCAGGTACCCGGGTCACCCCTGGGACACCCCCTGGGTCCAGGCCCCACACCTCCAATCCCTCACCCTAGAAAGGGAGTCAGCAAAAGGGACAGAGAACAGTGTCCTGTGATGTGGTCCCCACCTGCCAACTGGGGTGACTGTCAGCTGTGGTGCTGGCTCCAGGCCCCAAACTGACTCTAATTAGCCCCCCAAGAGCAGTGGGAGAGGAACTTGGCCCGAGTGTGGCCGCCTGGAGCTGGTGGGCCCTGGAAGCCAGCAGGTAGCCCTACTCAGCCCCTCTCGGGGACGTCACACAACTGGGAGCCCAGGGGGAGAGACTGGGACCTCCATCTGTAGGCCTCAGCTTGGGTACCTGGCCCTTCATCACCCACCAGGCTGCGGGGTCCAGGGCCTAAGCCGGGGTGTGGGGCGGGGGCGTCTTTGCTCTCAGTCTCCCCTTTTTGCTTCTGGCTAAGTTGGAAACCAGGGAGCAGCAGGGAGAGTACTTGGAGGCAGAATGTCTGCCCCCAGCCAGCTCCCGTTCTCGGCCTGGAAGACCGGGAGGAGGAGCTGGTTGCCCTCCTCACTCTAAAGGGGAGGACTTGGTTCCAGTGCCAGGCAGGAGCCCACCAGTTGGGGGGCACAGCTCTCCCTCAAGGGTGCTCCTGGATGGCACCTGGCATTTGCCATTAGCCAAATGTCCCGGAAACCCTGGGCTAGAGGGGTTGTGGGGCTCCTGGTCCCCCAGGGGGCTTGAACCCCGCCTGGGCCAAGTATGCAGGCTGCTGGGCACAGGCAGGTACAGGATGCCCCCTTCCCTATGTGCTCACAGGACTTCAGGCTGGGTCCAGCTTCTGAATGGCATCATAGGCCAGGAGCACCCCAAGTGCATAGTGGCTCCCCAAGGAGGCAAATGAGAGACCCAGAAGGGGGTTTTGCAGGCTGGAGGCTTAGCACTGCAACCACCCAAGCTGAGCCTTTTGAAAATTTTATTTATTTCTATTTTTTAACTTTAAAGAGCTCTACTGAGATATAATTCACATACCCTGCAATTCACCCACTTGAAGAGTACAACTTGATAGCATTTAGTTTGTCCACAGAGCTGTGCATCCATCTCCAGAGTCCATTTTAGAAGCTTTTCTTCTCCCCAGAAAAAAGCCCCCTGTCTTCAGCTAACATCCCCTATTCCTCCATCCTCCCTTGGCCCCGGGCAACACTCATCTACCCCCTGTCTCCCCGGATTTCCCTGCTCAAGACATTTCATCTATATAGACTCATATAATATGAGGCCTCTTGGGTCTGCCTGCTTGCGCTTCTCAGAATGCTTTGAGATTCATCCACGTTCATTCACGTGTAGCGTGTGTCAGGGCTTTGTTCCTTTTTAGGCCCAGTACTATTCCATCCTATGGCCATTTTGCATTTGTCTATCCATACCATTCATCTGTTGACGGATTTCGGGGCTCCTTCCCAGTGGTTTGGCTACTGTAAAGCTCCAAGTGAAGTCTGCAAGGAGGAAGAGGAATTCTTTTGGGATCAAGGGGGGGTGGGCATACACTTCTGGTCCTTGCCCATGACACCCAGGGCAACCTCAGGCCTGTGCACCTCTCCGTGCCTGGCATGGGGCAGCCGGCCTGACCCGGAGCACAGCCTCTGGGGACACTGGCCTGTGTCTCTGTGTGCCCCAGCCTCCTGGTCTGCAAGAGGAGGGATAGAAACCCCCACTACACGCACCGTTGCCCCTTGAACAACTCGGGGTTACGAGTGCCGACTCCCCCGGCCTCCGAAAATCCAAGTAGAACTTTTGACTCCAAAACCTAACTACTAACAGCCTATGGTTGACCAGAAACCTTACGGATAACATGGACAGTCCACTGACACTTATTTTGTGTGGGGTACGTGTCATATACCGTAGGCTGCCAATAAAGCAAGCTAGAGGAAGGAAAATGGTATGAAGAAAACTGTAAGGAAGAGAAAATACATTTACAGCCCCGTGCTGTATTTTTATATAGAAAACACACACGAGCGGGCCCAGGCACTTCAGAGCCGTGTTGTTTCAGGGTGTGAGGGGTCCTCCCCCTGGGTCCTCCCGGGGTCGTCCTTCCGTGCGGGTCTGTGTCCTGATCCCCTCTTCTTGTAAGGGCCGCGGTCACATGGGAT